AAAGAAGTCAAGGAAGTATACGAGGGCGAGGTCACGGAGCTGACGCCAGTTGAGACCGAGAACCCAACTGGGGGCTATGGAAAAACTGTCAGCCACGTCGTCATAAGTCTTCGAACCGTAAAAGGCGTCAAGCAGTTAAAGTTGGACCCATCTATCTATGAGAGCCTCCAGAAAGAGCATGTCGAAGTCGGAGATGTAATTTATATCGAAGCTAACTCCGGAGCCGTAAAACGTCAGGGGCGTTGTGACGTCTACACGGCTGAATATGATCTGGAGGCGGATGAATACGTTCCACTCCCAAAGGGCGAGGTTCATAAGAAAAAGGAGGTTGTTCAGGATGTGACTTTACATGATCTTGACATCGCGAACGCGAGGCCCCAGGGTGGACACGATATCGTTTCGATGATGGGACAACTTATGAAACCGAAGAAAACAGAAATTACTGGTGAGCCTCAACCATTGGCTTTTTAATCTCTTAATGAATCAAGATAAACTCAGGAAGGAAATCAACAAGGTCGTCAATAAATACATCGATCAGGGAATTGCAGAACTCGTCCCTGGAGTCCTCTTTATTGATGAGGTCCATATGCTTGATATCGAGTGCTTTACTTACTTACATCGCGCACTAGAATCTACAATAGCTCCGATCGTCATTTTTGCTACAAATCGAGGCAAATGCTTGATCAGGTTGGTCTCTTTTTTTGCAAACTTGACGAATGTGTGCATTTTTTTAAATTCAAAAAAATTATAATTTGTACCGTAAAATCATATCCGAATCCTACTTCTAACGCTTTAATGCAAGTTTAGGCAATAGGCAAATTCCGGATCCTTCAATTGCCATCGTGCGCTTTTGGTTTTTGCTTAAAATCTGAATGGAAATTTCCACGTGTACATGCCCTATGACCGTCAACACGACTTTTTGGTTGACCTCCCATTTGTTTATGTCATCTCCAAGGTTTTGAACCCAGAACTTGTTGCTTTACATTATTCTCTGTAAAATAAATTACCAACAGACATCGCAGAGTGGGGTGACCATTTTTGGTCTATCAGCCACCGTCAGTTATCCCTATTCAACCTGAGGTGTGATGGCGCCTGGGGTTACAACTCGCATTTTTCTGCTTCTTAAGCGTTGGTACGTTGTTAAGCCCAATGCTTTAACGAGCTCGTGGTCCTGTCATTTGCGATTGGGAATGTTAGCTGATCGGGTAACGCACTTTTCTTGTCTTTTGTTTGAACTTCCTATTGTTCAGAGTTAAACCCGTAAATCCAGTGATCAAATGCACATTACGCCTCTTCCTGCCGCTTTTATTCGTGCCTCTAGTTAACTGTTAGAAATTCCAACATATTATTTCAGTTCCCGGCGGGGTAAAGACTCGGACGGCAGGTACGCTTAGATGGCCGAACAGTTTTAATGAATAAAATCTGAGCGGAGTCCATTTCCAGCTATGAAACAAACTTACCGTCGGTCGTATGTGTTCAGACATTAGTTGTTTTCTTTCTGTATGAACTTCTCCATCGACTGGGGAGGGCTATTTGGTGGCTCATACAAAACTTTTTCAGTGATTTGGCCTAGTCCTCGTTTTCAAACACAGTCGAACGAACTTTGCAAATCTGCTTGACCCTAACCTTTTATTCCTCCTTGACCTGTCTTCGCTGCTGTTAGAAATGGGGGAGTTTTTCGTTAGCCCAAGCATTTTACTGTTGAGCACAGTTAAGCGTATATATCTGAAGTCGAATCGCAAGGTACTTGTCCTATTGGTAAGTTGATATGAGGTCTACAGCATAAACAAAGAAGTTCACCAGCATTACCGACGCCTTAGTATGGTCGAAATTCGTATTGTACGGACTACCTCCCTAGATTTTGCCTCTTAACTTATATTGGACAACTTGCTGTGTGATTGTTCCTTCTCTTGTGCGTTCGCCCAGTCACAACAGTCCCTAGGACATGCTGTGTGTCATCACTAATTATGGGTAACGATTGATAGTTAGGATAACATTCACCGCTTAAGAGAAGTGAAGAGTACTGCTTGTAATTTTCGAAATTTTCACAGATTTTTCTGTGTGCGCATTTTGGTTGGGGTAGAAGCAGAACTAAAAAGTATCCAGTAACAACCGATATAATTTTTGGGCACTCGCCTATCATCATTCTCTGAGGATCAACTTGACGAAATCGCTCTTGTATGTGTAGTCTTTTGCATACATTTTGGTTTGAATATTGCGTGGTCAATTAGCTGACCTCTTTGAACACCATCTGCAAATTTCCATAAGAGAGTTATCTTCGTTAGGTTCTGTGTCAGTCGTTAGTGTTCTTGCCGCCTTAACGATTTCAGCCCTAGACGCCGAGTCACTCATGCAGTGACATCCGAGCAACGTGGTGCCCTGGAACTGGGCTTCAACTGTTGAGTTAATACAGTGACTGTCGTTATCGTTGGCATTTTGATGAAGGATGCCCCTTCTCAATCAAAATATAGCATACCCTTCCCATACTCATATCTACTTATCTGTTGGAAATCTAGTAGGTCTACGCAGTCTTGATGGTAATCTCGGGCAAAGGCCATAGGTACCACGCTGGAGTTAGGCACTCAAACTGACCGGCGAAAAAGTAATTAGCCGGACGAGCGCCACTGTTTTAAT